TGTTGTCATTTAAACTGATTTACTTTCAAACCCACATTATTACCAAAAATGAGTCTCTATCACATTTTCAAAAACACCTCATCGTGGACATTTACCGTTACGCGTTAAGTGTTCCTGCTGACCACAATTAAAACACTCTCTGTCAGCTCCAACTTACTGCACACACTTGAAGCAGTGGTGTCCCATTCAGGAATGCACACAGAGCCACTGATAAGCAGTTCTCTGTATTCCTTACAGTCCACCAGTGGTGGACATAATCACAATAGCCCAATCATAATCTTCTTATTGACAGAACATTAATTTTCATAGCCGCATCGAAATGCTCAAAATATTCTAAGTTGTTTTCACGAAGTTTCTTGACTACTTTGGTCACACTTGTCCTGGGAAATTATCCCTGACCCAAAATTATAAAAATTTTATAAAACAATATCTTATTTCAATGTCAATCAACCTTACTGATTTCCACAATCTTTGGACATAGCTGTCTTTTTCTAATTTGGTATTACCATCAACAACACTAATTACAGAACAAGTACATATCTAACATCCGGAAGCCGGGCTGAATAAGCAAACACTGTCACTGTACTCCCAGCATAGCTGGACCCTCAGTCACTCCTCAGATATTAAATACAGACATAGTCTATAATCATAAATACCAAGATACACGCATTCGTTTTTTTACAAAATTATAGTTTCAATTCGTTTTATAATAAATGAAGATGGATAGTAAGTCCATTCTTTTCACTACCCCCATTATAGACCCAATGGTTGTCAAACCAAAATTAAACATAATTTCAATCATTATTTTACCACTAAAATATAAAATTGTTCCCCATTCTGCTTAATGAAACATTTCTTATCTTTATATAACTGTTAATCATACTCAATGCCTTATTGTTTTATCTGAAACTTATATTTTCATACAAGTTCAATTTAATCTGACTTATCATAGTTCCATGAATTCTCTCGGAATTTTTTCTTTTCTCTCGATCAGCTTCCTCAAGCCAAACGTCCACTGTCTGTTCACATTTTCCACATCCATGCCTAGCGCAGCCTCGCTGCTTTGTTCCACTGACTCCCGCACCACTCCCAGTCTAGTAGTGCTCAGTGTTCCCTCTCTAGGGAAGTCATGATATTTGATCAGGTTTTCAACCTAACATATATTTTCAATAACAGTTCTGAAGCACGGATTTAATTTTTTACTCGTTCGGTTTGCTTTCACAAGGCAACATTTCAAAGCAGCGTACCAAAATGTGTTTATGCAAGCCACGTGTATAAAACGATCCTCTTATTGGTCAGAGTTCAACCAAAGAGTATAGAAGAACAAGAAGCAAAACTCTGATGCTTTTTTGGTAAAAGCCACTAGGTGGCGCTTCAGGAGCGCGGCCGCCATTTTGGGGTGAAAATTCCAACTGGAGTTACTGGACAACAGCATAGATAACAGTTTTTTGAGGTAGTTTTTTCTTCTAATTTTTCCCAAGCGGCAAAATTCTAATCTGAAAAATGAAGCCTACCCGTAAGTGGGAAAAACTGCAATACATCGAAAATCCGCTAGAGGCCGGTCCCAAAAGGGGGTGAATATCCATAGACCTCACATTAAAATGTCCATTTTCACAGCATCAATTTATATGTTTACAGTTTGACTTTTATTGTATTTTTCGATAGGTTCCGAGTGCCTGACAACTGTGAGGTGAGTGAATTTTTTCTAACTCGTTAGTTTAGATCGTATTTGGATGTAAAATGTATGAAAAATAAGGGCGGTTAACTTTGATTGACAGCTGATAACAGGCTGCGCCGAGTGGAATTGGACGTCTTGGCCATGATCTGACACGAAGCATCTCTGTATCCTTTCTGAAACATTTGTATTTCTGAACATTTGTATTTTGTGTTTCTTAAGATTTTCTAATATGGCGCCGCCCATACCCCCCATAAACCTGTTCTTCAGAAAGTCTATGAGTGACTTCACAGACGCTTTGTCCATATTTTTTACAGTCTATGGTATTTCCATTGTATGCAACTTTACACATTTACTACTTCTATTAGTTACCAACTCCATTAGGCCTGAAATATATTTTGTACGTTTTAATCCCCTGGATCATGCTACAAACATGATGATCATTGATGCGCTGTGTCCGTTATCCTATTACTTTAATTGCCACTTTGAACAGTTTTTTTTACATAGTTTTGTTTTAACGGTCATTAATATAAGATAATACTGCAAAATACTTGTGTTGCAATGGAGCGTTCACTTCTTGTCAATATACGTTCTTTGGTTCAACCGTTTTCATTCCTCAAGATGGACAGAGATAATCGCTCCGCTGGCTTTGTTTATTCGAATGTAGCCTTGATTCCTGCTCTGACTGATAAATTAAATATTAAAAAATATATTACGTTTATGAAGCAAGTTAGGCTTCGTCAAGACAGCATTCTTGCAACACGGAATCCTGCACACGTTTCTCTTATGAACTGTCTCAGAGTCATTCTTTGGTAACGCGTTACTTGAAGGGGTATGCATAAGACTAACATGATGTATTATGAATATGAAGGAAGGTTTATGCATGTTTGTGACAACTGTCATTAAGTGTCTTTTGCTCAGTTATGAAAGTTTTAATGCAAATATGACATTGTTTGAGATGTCTTTGTTATGACACCTTGACATTACCAAGCAGGGATGGAAATCAACTCTTTTGTCCACCGGCGGCCACTGTGGATTTCAAAATCGACCAGCCACTCGACGTTTTTACTAGCCACTTTCTTGTTTTTAACCGACAATGTGTAACTGGTAACACTTTACAATAAGGTTCATTAGTTAATGTATTTACTAACGTGCACTAACCATGACCAATACATTTGTTACTGCATTTGTTCATCTTTGTTAATGTTAGTTCATGAAAACACAGCTGTTCATTGTTAGTTCATGTTAGTTAACGGTGAATTAACTAATGTTAACAAGATTTTAATCAAGTATTAGTAAATGTTGAAAATAACATTAACAAAGATTAACAAATGCTGTATATGTGCTATTCATTATTAGTTCATATTAACTAATGTAGTTAACTAATGTTAACTAACGAACCTTATTGTAAAGTGTTACCGTGTAACTGCATGTGAAAGTTAATGTGTATCTACATGTGAGTTAATGTGTAACTGCATGTGAAAGTTAATGAGTAACTGCATGTGAAAGTTAATGTGTAACTGCATGTGAAAGTTATTTAGTAACTGCTGTGGAAGTTGATGTGTAACTGCAGTGAAAATCTATGTGTAACTACAGGTGAAAGTCGGTGAGTAAAGTGCATGTTACTGTGATGAGTATCTGCAGATGAAGTTTATGAGTAGCTGCAAGTGGAAGTTAATGTGTAACTGCTGGTGAAAGTTATTGAGTAAATGCTTGCGAAAGTCATATGTGTAACTGCGTGTGATAATTAATGTGTAACTGCAGGTGAAAGTACGAGTAACTTGAGGTGAAAGTATGAGTAACTTGCAAGCGAAGTTAACGTGTAACTGCAGTGAAATGGTGAGTAGCTGTACGTGAAGTTAATGAGTAACTTGCAAGCGAAGTTAATGAGTAGCTGCATGCGAAAGGCAACGAGTAACTGCAGTGAAAGTTAATGTTGTAACTGCATGCGAAAGCTAATGTGTAACTGCAGTGAAAATCGATATGTAACTGCATCGGAAAATGTCCAGTAGCTGCATGCGAAAGGTAACGAGTAGCTGCATGTGAAAGATATGAGTACTTGCATGTGAAAGACGAGTAGCAAGCATGTGAAAGGTAATGAGTAACTGCAAGCGAAGTTAACCGGTAACTGCATGTGAAAGTCTATGTGTAACTGCAGAGAAAGTTTATGTGGAACTGCATCTGAAAGTTGATGAGTAATTTGTAAGCGAAGTTTATGAGTAGCTGCATGTGAAATGATGAGTAACTGCACTGAAGTTAATGAGTAACTTGCAAGCGAAGTTAATGAGTAACGGGCATGCGAAAGGCGACGAGTAACTGCTTGTGAAAGTTGATGTGTAACTGCATGTGAAAGCTAATGTGTAACTGCAGTGAAAATCGATATGTAACTGCGTGAGAAAGTTGTTGAGTAATTGCAAGCGAAAGTTTACGAGTAGCTTCATGTGAAAGTTTACGAGTACCTGCCTGTGAAAAATGATGAGTACCTGCATGTGAAATGACGAGTAACAGCATGCGAACGATAATGAGTAACTGTATGTGAAAGTTAATGTGTAACTGCATGTGAAAGTTAATGAGTAACTTTATGTGAAAGTTAATACTGATAGGTTGGTTTATGTGTAACTATGAAAGTTAATACTGATAGGTTGGTTTATGTGTAACTATGAAAGTTAACCAGTTAACCTTCGGGCAACCGACGGCGCTCTGAAGCCCTCCCCCCCCCACTAGTTTAATGTTTATGAATGGATTTAACATGAAAGAAGATCATTAATCTTGGCAAACTATATATAATTTTAAAGGTCTAAGCCTCGGGCATCGATGTCAGTGCACTGTTTTTCGATGGAAAGCTTATAACAAATGTATTTCTTGCATTTACGTAAGCAGTACACATAAGAACGCACGTAAACAAAAACGGAGTACTCACCATTATTTGTAATAACGAGCCAGACACGCATCCACTGTTAAAAAATTCCAGATTGAATGGAAAGCTGAGGGTCCACTGAATAACATCCATAGAGCATTTTTTGTCCAAAGAAAAAATAATGTTGTAATATCCATGGTAATTCCTTTGTTTACATCGCGTTTCTTCAGGGTGAATATCATGCGGTTTTGTTATGCAATAAAATAGTCCATAGAAAACAGACTCCCGGTAGCAGACCCTTATATGGGTGTGTTGCTTAGAGTGTAATGAACAAATTACGACCGCGCACACACACACAAATACAAAGATAAGCGATATCTAGTTCAAAAATATGCAAACACTGCAGTCCGTTTTTTTGACGTCATGATATGCACATCATATCATTCTGTCTTTATAACGAAGCCAATAAAAGAAACGACATGATATGACTGGTAAAACATGTAGCCAACCAGTGCACGATTCCAACGTTGCCCGGGAAGTTTGAATTTCTCACACGAACATATGTTTTTATTTGCTCTCCGTCCGGTAGAGGAGCTAAACTTCAGGCTCTGCAGAGCCACACCCACCGCGGTCATGTTTTGACAGGCCTGCTATAGCTAAGAGCTAAGATAACAAGCTAAGAGGTAGCTAGTCAACAAACATCTGTTCGTGCAGACATGCAGACTGTCATAAAATAATTTGTCAAAAGAAGTATTTTTCTGCTGAAGTAGTTATTCGAGATCACTCGAAGATGGATTATGTCGACATTGATGAGAAGATGAGTGATGAGAAGATCGTGACGACGGTGATAATTATGCTTGAGGGCGGAAAAGATTATCCAATTTTCGGTGAGTTGCTTTATACATAACTTATGTAACATGCACACATTATACGTATGTGTGTCTGTGTGTGTGTGGGTGGGTGAGAGAGAGAGAGAGAGAGAGAGTGTTTGGTTTCCAGTTGTTTCATACGGAAAATGCATTGTGTAAAGTTGTGTCTGAAAAGATTATGCTACTTTATATGCATTTATTTATTTGTATATATGTATTTATATGCGTTGTACGGTTATGCAGTTGTTTGCCGTTTTTTTCTGGCACATGTGGTGTGCTATCTGAAGGATGGAGGGGCTGGACACCTGTGCAATATACATTTTTTCCTAGCACACATACTGTATATTTTTACAGTCTAATATACATAATATTTATAGTACAAATGCAAATATTTGTACTGTAAATATGATGTATGTTGTACTGTAAATGTATATATATATATATATATATTGTTGTTGTTTTTTTTTTTTTTTTTTTTTTTTTTTTTTTTTTGCAGATTGGTGGGAAGAATTGCAGAAAATATGTGCTATATAGGAAGGAGTTGTATGCTTTCAAAATGGCACATTCCTGTCTGATGGCCGGCCATCAGTGTGATTGTTGGTTCTTTGTCTGGTCATCCATATGAATGCTGTCTATATCACTGGCCATTGATTTGTTGATTGAATGGATGAGCTTTAGTACGAATGCTGTGTAAACGACTGCCCATCAGTTTGATTGTTGAATGAATGGCCAGCTATATAGAAACTAAACAGAATTATTTACTTGACATGCAGTGCTAATTATCTTTCCATTCTTTCCCATGCAACAGCCATCAAGTTGAATCTTCAGATGAAGAATGGCATCCAAGCACCAGCCAGAGATGCAAGCTCTCAGTTTCTTCACTATTCTTCACTTTTTCCATACTTTTCAGAACATTGCAATTGACCAGAGGATGGTGGCATCAAAAGCTAGGAATGGACTAAAGCAATATATGAAGGCCAAGCCAACAAAGTACAGTATTTATATCACTTGTATTTTCTATTGCAAAGAACCTCAGTTATTTATTTTTTATATTTCATAATATTTTACTTATGTATTTTACATATATATTTTTTTGTTCTGTTGTGCAAATAAATCACTTGCATAAAGTCTAATGGTTGTGTGTATTATTTTATAATTGCATTATTTTATGAATTGACTGAAATAGCTTGCAGTGCCCTGCATAACATTTGGTCATTAGGTTGCTTTTTGATGTATCCAAGGAGGTTTCTTGGTACCTGGACATAGTCTTGGAAAAAATATTGTAGGAATCTCATTTTTCATAATATCTTCCTCAAATTTGAAATATAAACTGATGAGACTTATGTCTTTCAATCAAATTACCTAACTGGATTCCTACAGGTTTGTTTTCATTTATTTTTACATGAAATTGTAAAATATTACATGCAGTATAAATTATCTTCAAGACACTTTAAATTCTATAACTTTTTGTCTGTGTAAGTTTTTTCAACTTTAACAGTTGGGTAATACACTCTAAAGTGTCTTCTTTTTAAACATGTCTAAATTGTGCATGTAGTGCAAATAGTTGAGCAACTGCAAATATTTTAGTTTGGGCATGTTATTTCTGGGGATGTGCCTCAGGCAGGGGGAGGGAGAAAGGGAACTGACATAGTCTTGGAAAAAAGTTTGCAGGAACCCCATTGTTCATTATATCTTCCTCAAATTTGAAATATAAACTGATGAGACTTGTGGCTTTCAATCCTTTATCTATCTGAATTACTCCAGGTCTATTTTTATATATTTGTACATGAAATACTAAAACATTTTTGTGGCGCACATTATTTTTGAGGCACTTTTAACTTTTATAACTTTTTTTCTGTTTGAGCATTATCAAATCTGATTGATTGTTAGTAGAGTCCCAACTGTCTTCTTTCCAAAGATACCTTAATTGTGCCTGTGGTACACTGTTCTCAGGAGCTGTATTTATTGTTATCCAGGCATGTCATTTTCAGCTGTGAGCCCCCTTGTGGAGCTGAAGGTTAACAGGTTAATACTGATA